AAGAACGCGTACAGCAGCGACGTAGCGTTGTAGCTGATGGTTTCGTCGGCCACCCCCGCGGCGATGCTGCCGAGGGCGTTGAATAGCCCTGGGCACGTGAAGCACACGAACGACACGAGGAGCACTTGGGTCAGTGCTGACGGATTCTTCCAAAACATGGCTACTGCAACTCCAATCGAAATTCAAAAGTGGGTTTGTAGTGCATGTGCCCGGGGAAGACAGAAGGAGAAAGTGCAAAGTGGGATGATGGCTTGGGCCATAGATCGTGGTAATCATGGATTTGAACGCCACTACTTCGTACTACAGTATAGTCACTACATACATACACTTGGAATAGCTGTTGTGACGGTGTAGTACAGGATGATCTACTTCAAGTACTGTTTGTTGGGGCACTACTGTTTTCCATTGGTGAAAGTTGAACTTGGTGGTAGTGTCATTCCAACCAGGACTTGAATCCTTGATGCATTCCCGAAAGATTGACGTATCTTTGGTATCTTTGTCATAGTCGTGGTCAAATCGGAATGTCCAAATTGTGTGGATTGTAACCAAACTAATACGACGTCCATGTGAATGCTTGCAATAAATGACCGATTTCGCTATTTTGAATTTTCTGTAACGGGCACGCGTACAGGTGGTACTCACCCATTCCAACCCAAATGCCCAAAATATTCCAAAAATATAGGCCATAGATCGCGTTGAGACTTTGAAGTTCAGCAACTCGTACCATGTTCACTGCTAAGCTTACCGGTACACTACACGCAATCCTAGCCCAGGGTTACACACCTACTACATGACAATCGTACGTTTCTATCGCGTATAGATTGTGGATGCGATGGGGCTGCGGCATTCCAACCAAGTTTAATGTAACGTTACTACACAGCCTATCGCAGTTACGAGAACGCTATTTTCGGCACTGACATGAACTGGCGAATTTTTCCCTCGTGGACGAATATTAGTACCAGTAATTCACAACAGGTAGTACGAAGTATAAATAATACCACTCCGTCCCAAATCACGGACACGTTTGGACATTCTATTAGTTGTGAAATTAGAAAACAATCAATTTTATTAAAAATATTACTTTATCCAGTACAGTTGAGCCAATCACAAGGAAGGTGACATGGGTACATTTAGGTGACATTGACATATTCCTGGGAATTAAATTATACAGCCGAAGTCACCTCTTGTTTTCGATATATTTGAGACAATCTCCATACATTCTTCAAGTCCGGTGAACATTTGAAAATTTTGGGTTGAGCGGCTGATTTTATTTGAAGAATACACACGCAGTTTTTGGACGAATGGCAATATAATTATATGACCTTATAGCCAAGATCCTACTCTTTTGGTTGGTACAAATTTCACACAAATCCAATGATTGGTCATAATACCACAATGTGGCAAACATCAAACGTGTCAGTGATTTGGGACGGAGTGGTACTACGAACTACTACAATACGTATTATTAATATTAATAATAGTATACTAGTACTGTACCTTACTTTCACGACACCCTAACTACTGTAAGTAGTACTAGTACCCTTAGTGGGGGACTACCTTACCGGTACTGTAGATAAGACCACGCACACACTTACAGAAAAAACCATGTAACTTGGGACTTCGTCC